TTTTTTGTTTGTTTGTTTGCTTTTGTTTTTATGGTGCTGGGGACAAATCAGGTCACATGCATGCTAGGCAAGCACTCTATCACTGATCCTGATTATTTTTTCTGTATTAAATTTTTTTTTCCAAGATCAATATAAAAGCTTAATGCAGTAGAAAATAAGGAACAGTTCATGGCCACTAAGATTTTTGAGGAATTCTATTTTTAATCCTTTTAAAAAACAGATGCAATGTTTTTGGTGTGGGGGGTATTCCTGGGGATTTAACACACAGGCACTTAACCATGGAGCCACATCCCCAGTCCTTTTTATGTTTTACTTTGAAACAGCATCTCACTAAGTTGCTGAGGTTAGCCTCGAACTTGTAATCCTCCTGTCTTAGCCTCCCAAGCCCCTTGGATTACAGGCATGTGCCACTGGGCCTGGCTTAGAGGTAATATTTCTACAGAACAGTCCTTCAATTTTATAATCCTTGCATTAATAGCATTCTTGAATTTCAAAAAGAAAACTATCAGTTACATTGCTAGTAAGTCTGATAGAAAGTGTATTTGTTCTTTCTTTCTCCTATTATATGAATAATCTAAACAAATGCTAGTTTATATCTTTTCCTACCTAGTTTTTTTTAATTGTGTTTTGCAGGAGAACTAAATAAATTTGGAAGTTGTTGAAATTGATGTACATATTTAATAGATGCATAGTTGTATGTGGTTAAAAATGAATAGCCAAAGGTCATTATGGTATAAGTACTGTGTGTTCTTGATGGCCAAAGAAACAAATCACTAATTTTATGACTTAATTATAATAATGAATAGTATAGTTTCAGTATTTAAACTGTTGCTTGAAAGCAGTTCAGTATATTCTTAATTCATTAATATTTAGGAAAATAGTAAAAATTTTGTTCTTAAACCTTTATTGATTAAAGTAGATACTGATATTATAAAGTCCAGTTTGAAAGGCAATTGGTTATATACACAATTTTAGAGCTAATTTTCTTTAACTGCTATCTGTATCTTACTTGATAATAAACAAGTAATAAAAGTTAATTTATTCTTAGTGTGCTTTTCATATTGCTTAGAAAATGCCAAAAATTTTTATATGGGATTATAACCTTTTATAAGAAGATTAAAAACTGATACAAGTACAGATCTTTTATCATGTCTTTCTTCTTTTGAAACATAGTTGTCTGTCTGGGTCCAATCAGGAGATAGAAACTACACATTGGGTTGAACAGGGTAAGTTTTGTAAAGAATGATTAAACCCTGATAAAAGAGTGACTTTAAGACATAGGAAAGTATATATGGTACCTAGGACTGGTAGAGAAAGGACAAACTTCAATGGGCCCCTTCCTTAAGGCTGGGATTCAGATCTCAGTGGGGAAAGGTATAATTCAATCTACCAAATTAAAGGGTACCATTGTACCTTGGTCAGAGCTAGTTCATAGGCAGTTGGGTAATATAGCATGTAGAGGGGAAGGAACCCTTTGAGCCACCTGTATGCCTCTGCAGGCAGGAAGTCTTGAGAGGGTTGGATTTTGTGTTGAGAGGGAAGATTATTGCTAGGCAGGGCCTATACTTCCAGGTCCTTGAGAAGACTGCACATCTGGGCATGTGTGTGAGGCAGCCTTCACTTGATGTTCTTACCTCAGTACCACTGATCCACTATGCAGTAGTTGGAAACTACAGAACTGCCTTTGCCCTATAATCTCCTTTGAACACTCATTGCTGAGAAACCTTCAAGTAGTTGTTACTGTAGAGAATCTCAAAATATTTGTGTCCATGTGGGACTGTATATGTTGAAGGGAGAATTTGAAACTGAAGATTATTAAATTTGTAACTGTCATAGTCAAGTTTCCATTCGTCCTTTCCCCAGTTTTTGTACTTTCTTGCAGTACATATTTGCAACCTCTTTTGACTAATTACTTTTCTGCATCTTTTATTGTTTGTGATTGTTTTTCTTCTTTTAGCACTGTTGACATCTGGGGTCAGGATAATTGTATTGGGAGGCTGTCCTGTGTATTATGGTAGGCTTAGCAGCATCTCTGGCCTCTATCCCTAAATGCTAATCACACATACATCTCCTCCTGCCTGTACATGGTTCACATTGTGTTTTGTTTTGCTTTTTGGTACCAAGATTGAACCCAAGGGTGTTTAGCTACTGACATCTCCCCAATCTTTAAAAAAAAATTTTTTTCCTCAAATTTTGAGACAGAGTCTCCCTAAGTTGCTTAGAGCCTTGCTAAGTTGCTGAGACTGGTTTCAAATCTGCAATCCTCCTGCGTTAGCCTCCCAAGCTGCTAGGTTTATAGGCATGCACCCACCACACTGAGCTCCGCAGCAAAAAGGTCTCCAAATGTTAAGAAAATCCTTTGGAGATCAGCATTTTCCTTGGTTGAAAACTTATTGTAGCCTGTGTTGTTCTCTCTTTTAGAAGCAATTTTAATATCTGTTTTAATGAGGGTTTGCTAGTGTTTTTTTTTTTTTAAACAGGCTCAGTTTTAATAGAGAAGGAATCTTAATTATGAAACTTATTTTTAGAAGAGGCATTAGAAACTAACACCTTTTAAAAAGTATCTTATGTGAATTAAGGTGGAATTTTAAGTGGATTTTGTTTCTAATAACCTTGATATTTGGTTGCAGGGCTAGGATTAGAGAATTCCGTTTTTTAAAATGAAATATTATATTTGTAGTGTTTTAGTATATTCATTCTTTGATTCAAGAGCTTATGCTCTGCCTTTACCATGCAAGGTGCTAGAGATTAAATGACAATACACTGAGTGAAATTTTTCAAGTATGCATGAAGAATCATTTAGTTGTCACATTCTTGCCTTGATTCTTTTTTTTTAAAAGATTTTTAAAAACATGGATACAATATCTTTATTTATTTTTTTTAATGTGGTGCTGAGGATTATACCCAGTATCTCACAAGTACGGACCCTAGCCTCTTGCCTTGATTCTTGATGGTAAAACAAAACAAAACAAAACATTTTTTAAACATTAAAATATAATTTCTTCCTATATGAAATGACCGTGTTAAAGGTGCTACTCTTAGGTTTAAGGTATAGTTTTGCAACTGGTGGTATTTGAATCAGAAGATCCACATTCTGGCCTTGTTCCTTATTAAGCATCTTCATCATTTGTGAAACTGTACTTGATTAACTAGATTCAAAATCCCTAACCTACAATTTCTAATATGTCATGAGTAGTCCCCCAGGTTAGAGTTGAAGATGAGACCAGGGAAGGCCTAAAAGCCAGTCATAGTCTTCTAGCACTTATGTTCTGGGTACAAGAAGAAACAATTTTACTTTTATATAGTTATGAAAGCTTAAGCAATTAAGATTGCTTGTAGATTAATTGGAGACAAGTCTAGCAGTAGAGTAAGGGCTCAAACAGTGAGTTGGCCTGAAATTCTTGACTTCTTTACCTGCTTTACAGATTTTTGGCCATGATAAAAATTTCTGACTATGGAAAACATTTTATTGTAAGGATTCTAGAAAGGAATTGCTTAAGAAATAGTATACAGAATCAGAGAAAAGTTTGTAGTTACATGTTGGATGAGGGGCTTGTATCCAGAATATATAAAGATTGCTTAGAACTTAATAGCAAAAAGAACACAATTTAAAATGGAGTAAAGGATTTAATAGATAATTTTCTAAAGAAGAATGTACTACTGGTCAATAAACACATGACAAGATGCTTAGCATTATTTGTTGTTAGGAAAGTACAATTCAAACCCATAGTGAGATACTACTTTATACTCACTTGGATGACAGAGTATGAAATACCAGAAATTAAAGTGTTGGCAGGAATGTGGATAAATTGGAACCCTCATTCATTACTTGGGGGGAATGTAGAGTGGTTCGGTCATTATGGAAAACAGGTTGGCAGTTCCTCAAAACATAGCAGTTAAACAGAACTTCCGTAAGATGTAGCACTTTCATTCCAAGGTAAATATCCCAAAGAACTGGAAATGCATGCTCACACAAAAATTGTGCATGAACATTTTTTGTTGTGTTTTGTTTTCCCACCTCACGATCCTCCTGCCTTAGCCTACCATATCTGGTGCATTAATGTTCTTAATAATAATATTTCTAATACCCAAAAGTTCAAAAAATATTTTATTGAAAAAAACTCAGATTTTTTCAGGTGATTGATAAAATCTTGTAACTCCATGTGGTGGAATGGTTTTTGGGCACAAAAACAAATGAGATTCTGATATATGCTATAGGAAAAATGAACAATATGTTGCATGGAAAAAAAATGAAAAGACTGCATATTGTGTGATCCACTTATATAAAATATTCTGAACTCTATTGAGAAACCACTGAATTCTAAACATTAGAGGGTAAACAGTATGGCATGCACATTATGTCTCAGAAATGTTTTAATGAACCTAAATAATAAAAAAGATTAATCAGTGTGAGATTATGCTATACAATAGACATTTCACAAGTACAGTTATTTTTAATTTTTTCTGTACTGGAGATTGAACCCGGAGATGTTTTACTACTAAGCTACATCCCCAGACCTTTTTTTCCTTTGAGACAGGGTCTCACTAAGTTACCCAAGCTGGCCTTGAACTTGGAATCATCCTGCCTCAGCCTGCTGAATAATTGGGATTTATAAGTGTGTACCAGTATGCCTAGCACCAAGTTCAGTGTTTGGCTTTGTTTCTGTATGCACATTCTGGCTAACGTTTAGTTTACTTAAGTCTGTCCGTTTATAGTTGAACAGTTGCATTGAGATCAGGAGAGTCAAATTATCTTTCCATACCTGGCCATCATAACACAAATAGTCACATATCTGTTTAGGGTTTTTCTTATAAGAAAAAATGTAAATAGGAAGAGGAAAAATTATGTAGAAAATTTAACTTTATATCTTTATGTTTAATTATGGAAAGATAAGATTAGTTAATTATAGTTTATTGAAATTTCTAGGAGATATTCATGTCTTCATGTGAGATATTCCATTAGAATGTTCATTTTAATAACACAGTTTATATCATTTCAGACAGATTTGACCAATTTTGGGCCATCAATCGGAAACTTATGGAGTATCCTGCAGAAGAAAATGGATTTCGTTATATCCCTTTTAGAATATATCAGGTAAGAAGTAACATTTTGAAAAATACTAAGTTGTGAAAGCCTCAGACATCTTACTTCTTGAAGCAATCCTGGTCCAAAAATCTGTTGTGTAGTATCTGAAAGTTTGTTTTTCAGATCTGACTTTTGGTGGCAATTATATTAGAGATTGACTTGTGTGCAGTTACTACTCAATATTCAAAGTTTTTGTATTGGCAGAATTACCTACTTGCTAAAATTTATCAGTGACCCCTAAGTCAGTACTTGAAACACTTTGCAATTTTACAAGATGTGCAGTGGAGTTAAAAATATAATTTGCCTGATGTGCATGTTCCAAGCTGACGTTAAACAAAGCAACACTTTGTCTTCTTGTTCACCTTTCATAGTATAAACAAGAGTCCTTTTCATAGTCTGTTCAGTCCATTTTTTTTTCCTGTTCCTTTTGGGGGTATGGGAGGGTTGTTTTTTTTTTTTGGTTGGTGATTTTTGTGCTGTATAGAATGTACTCTAGGCACAGTGTAGTTTTTGTTTTTTAATATTTTGTTGTTATTGTTATAGATGGACACAATACCTTTATTTTATTTTTCTGTGGTGCTGAGGTTCAAACCCAGTGCTTCACGTGTGCCAGGCAAGTGCTCTACCACTGAGCCGCAACCCCAAACCCGTGGTGTAGTTTTTAAACAGAAATGTACTTAAAGCAAGATTATGTATTAGGTGATGAATATGTCGTAACAAAAGCTCTCAGAAACATAACATCATTTCTCTTAGGCCCAGTAGTTCAGTATTTGCTAACTCAGTGTTTTAAGTCACTTTTTATAGAATATAACTATTACAAATAAAAGGATTGCATTCATTTTATATGGTGAATTCTTGGAATTGTACAACAAAATAGACAGTAAGTAGCTTTGCAGGCCTTCATTACAGCAAATATATAGGAGGTAAAGAACTATAATATTTTGTATAGTACTTAAAAATTCAGTGTGCTTGGGATATAATATAGCAAATACTAAATACTTATTGAGGGCCTGGGGTTGTAACTCAGTGGATGAATGTTTGCCTAACATGTGAGGTCACAGGTTTGATCCCAAGCACCACCAAAAAATAAATAAATAAATTATCGAATTAATGATATTCTAGAAAGCAAATTACCTGCTATCATGGGAAATCATTTAAGAACAGAGAGTCTGCTCTGGTTAAGTCATCACATAACTATATTCAAAGAGGAAGACCAATCGCCTGATTAAAAATTAGCAAATAAAGTCTCAGAATACTGAAGGAATAAAATACCTTTTTATTCAATGCTGCAGGTATAATTTCCAAGGGGTTGATACTTTTCTTGAAGTCAGGATTGCTATGTTCCTAGTCTGGGTCCAGCATCTAGTAAAGTACCCAGCATGTGAATTTTTAACTTGGTAATCATTTATTGTTGATCTTCTTTTCATTTTATTCTATCATAATCTCCATACTAACTTACCATAAGGCATTTCTACAGCCTAACAAAGTATTTTATTTATGGAATTTAGTTGAACAAAGTATGTAACTTTAAATGACTTTAAAGACATTTTCAAAAGAAGAGTTCCAAAATTGTTTTCAGATTTGTACTTCCTAGCACTTAGAAGTGTATTGTTCAATTCTGGTGTTTACATTTAATGATACTGTATTTTCCTTATGTAATTACTTTGAGTTCCCATAGGGATAGTGTATTATATTAATGCTTAATGTAGGGATTATTATTGTCAGAATAATAGTGCAGATATAGAGAAGAGAGGTCTTCCTTTTTGGTATATCATTGTATTCTGGTGGAAAATTGTCAGTTCGTATCTCTTACTCTTGTTTATTATAATGCAGAAAGAAGTGGAGAATGGGGTTAGGAGGAAAAAGAAAATGTGTATGCATGGGAAAAATGGTTTTTATAAAAATTCCATAATTAGTAAGTGAGAAGGTAGAGAATTCTCAAAATTTGCCTTACAAAACCTGGCTGCCAGTGCTTCTTGCCTGATCTTTCCAGTGTCAAGACAGTTGGGCATTTTGTCTTTAAAAGAAAGAGACTGAAGTTTTTAAGTGACCTACATAACTTTCCTTTTGGCTTTATACCCAAGTGTGTTGTGTAACATGAATATAACAATTTAGGTCTTCCAGTTTTTACTAATTTATCATATCCTGACTTTCTTCATTTCCCTATTTTACATTTTATTTTATTTTGGTTTTTGGGTACCAGGAATTGAACCCAGAGGCACTTAACCACTGAACATATTCAGCCCTTTTTTAATTTTTATTTTGAGACAGGATCTCTCTAAGTTGCCAAGGGTGGTTTGAATTTGCAGTCCTCCTGCCACCACTCTCGGCCCTATTTTATGTTTTTAAATGTCCATGCATGTTCTGACCAAAGAGAGATGGAGTCCTGTTTTCTTTCTTTTTTTTGATTATATGATCTCTACTTAACATTAGATTTCTGTTGCTAACTTTTGATTAGTTTATATGTTTGATATTTTGTTTTTGAGTCTAGCTTTTTATTTATATGGCATTTCGATTGTTACCTTTTATTTAATATTTAGTACTGTAGTCTTTGAGATCTTTAGTTAGTAAAGAAGATGTAAAGAAACCCTGAAAATCCATGTTATTAATATACAAATGAAGGGAATAATTTTCACTAAAATACTTATTTTACTCTGCAGAATCCTAATAGAATTCCTGTACAGCAAGGAGTGAGCAAGGGACCCTGAGCATGCTTGAGAGAGGCCCATTTTATCATGTTGAAGTCTCAAATCTGTCTTAGGAGGTAGGAATCATTATCTCATTTCTAAAAAATGAGGAAATGGAAGGTCAGCGACCTTTATATCACTTGCTCACTATCAAAGAAATGAAAGAATCTAAACTTAGTTCTGATTTGTGAACTTTTTGTTGTTGTTGTTTGTACTAAGGATTCAATCCAGGGTTGTTCTTCTACTGAGCTACTTACTCAGCCCTTTTAATTTTTTTTAAGTCAAGTGCTCGCTAATTGTTGAGACTGGCCTCAAACTTGCAGTTTTACTACTTTAGCCTCCAAATAGCTGGGGTTAAAGGTGATCTCCACCATGTCCAGCTTATCATAATTTTCCTTTATATATTATGACAAAAAGTAAAGTTCACCTTACATTGATAGGAAACTAGAACTTTGGCAGTGTTCTTTAAAGATTGGCTTTTGTAAAGATTATGTAGAACTACTTATTTTTCATCTGGAAAATGTTTATTTATAGGCTCAAAATGATTATAACCAAGTGACAGAATTATAGTGGTAAAAGTTAAATTCCTCTAGAAACTGTCTAGAGATGTTGCAGACCATGTTTCTGTCATTTACATAACAGTTTGGTTTGGTGTGTGAGTTTCAGGTTTGTGTTCCTGAAATCCAGGTGCTTTAGTATTAGCCAGTATTCTAGAAATGAGGTTAATGGCAGGAAGTGTTACAGAAATGTAACCAATATGTTATTTATGATAGCACATTTAAATAGATGGTGATTAATGAGAGTATCTGTCAGAAAGATTTGTAAAATGACCATAAATTCCTTAGATATTGGTATTTCTCTTGTAGAATGAACTTAACCTATTGTTTCAGTTTTTTAAAGAAGGAACAGATTCATAAATGTTATCCTGTCAATATATTTTGAGTAAAAAGTTTTCTCTGATTTGCCTTATATGAGTTTATTTACTCACAAATATTTGCATTTCCATGCCCTGTGCTGCTGGGAGCCATTAGCCAAGTAGGTATGACAATTTCCTTGCCAGCGTACCCCATGTTGCTGACATGTTGCAGCGACATTGAATGTAGGTGACCTTGCTCAAGGACCAAGGCAGATTAGGGTGTTCCTGGTTTTAAGATAATCCTGTTTAGGGCGTTCCCAGTTTAGGTTCCAGGTTTAAGGTTTAAGATTATTCCTCCCGGGAATAGGGCGTATCCTGCTGCCTGAGTTCCCCTTGAGTTCTCACGGGATTCAGACAGTATATTTTGGAGATAGAAGCCCAGTGGAGGTGGATTTGGGCAGAGAACGTGGATTTCCCCAGAACGTGAATTTCCCCAGAACGTGATTGTAGACGGCTGGTGTGAGTTCGGGAATAAAGAGTTGCTGTTTGAATCTACAAGCTGTGTGGTGGCTCGTGATTGTGTGCCCAGCCAGACTGTGGCACTGTGCTATACACAGGGAAGTCAAGTGGTGGTTAATATTATATATATCATTCCTGAGAGGTTGAAAGAAACTAATCAACTTCAGTATACAGATATAACACTGCAACTGTGATTTCTGTGAATAGATACGTAGTGTAATAAAATTCTAATGCTCCTGGGGGAATTTGAACTAGTTTGGGAAGACAGAGGAGGCTGATTCGAGGAAACCTTGTGTTTCTTAGGGTAGGCAGAAAGTCTGGAGAAGAACATTGTAGGCAAAGGGGACTTTGAGACAGAGGACCTCTTGAGTATCAGGAGTTGTGGGGAAAGAGGCTGCAAAGGTACAGATTAGACCATATTACCATGTTTTCTCTTTATTCTGGAAGGAATGGAAAAATCTTAAGATAAATTTTAATAATTTGAATATCCATTCATACTTATTCAACAAAGATCATTATGCCATCTCCTCTCTTTTCCATGTTGTTTTTGAGGTTATAAACAAATTTAGGAACTTTTCTTAGGAACCACCTAACAATGTTATTTTCAGTTTTAAACAAAACACAAAGCTGATTAACAGTGTTTGTTTCCTCTTACATGATTAGATGGTTCCCACTTATCCTTAGAAGAAGTTCTTCATCAGTTATGTAATAATACAAAAAGTGGAATTTTGAGTTTAGATTTGTTCTCTTTCATAATCATCAGAGCTCTCTGTTCTTTCTCATTTACTATTTTATGTTCATTTGTCATTAAACCCCCATTAATATTTTAATTTGATCAGGTTTACTGGCTATTTTTACTTTTACAAATCTACTTACTTTCTATTGTGATGTGCTAAGATATATTTAAGAATCTAAATATTTAGCAATTTCAGAGGAGAAAAAGTATA